GGGGTTGGGGCGGAATGGCGGGGGAGCGAGATCAGGTACACTTCGCGAGAGCAGGGAAGCCTAAGCGAAAAATTCAGTCATCGGGCTGGACCAACGAACGGCCGTTGGGTCATATCATCAATGTTCTGCTTATGTAATGAGCTCTTTCGGGGATGTCCAGCCTGCCCATCACAGAGCACAGAGCACATGCTTACCATTACCAGCTGGTTGGCTCAATGCGTTAGGTACCTTAGGTACATTACTGCCTAGCCGACTGCCTAGAACCACTATCCGCCACATGTCTGGCTGCCTCACGACGCAAAGAGTCTCCCAGATAAGCAGCAACTTTTTGACCCAACACTCAGGAGCCTATACAGTGGCAGGTTCATAAATTCCATAACGTGTAAGTGCTGGTATCTGGTGGGTCGCTGGTGGGTGCTAGGAATTACCCCTATTGCCCACGAAACATACATGTCACGTATCACGGGAAGCCCTGTTTCTACATAAGGTACTTGAGTGATGCAGAATAACTTCTTTGGTCGCTCGCATGGCTATGACTGGAGTTTGGTCTGGCTCAAAGGGGCAGGATATGACAGCCAAGAAGCCCCCTGCCACCCCAATCTCGGTTTGGGATGAGATTAAGTGTGCGGACCTCTTGCATGTCGCCCTGTCTGCTACGTATGATCTGAACTGCCACATTTTTCTGAGGCCAGCACGTCAGTCATAAGCTCTTAACCATTGAATTGCGAATGTTTCCTGGTTGGGGGGGGGGGGGGGGGTGGCTTGCCTGCTCGTTTGCCTGCACGCACTCGCCAACCTTCTTTAGGCTGTCGTGGTTACTATGGTTCACATGCCCAAAGTTCACTATCTCATCTCCTATCTTGAGTCCTGCCTGTTCAGCTGGACTGCCTCCAGTCACAGAATTGACTCGCGCAAACGGACGGTCAGTCGTTTGCGTTGTCACTCTCTGAACAGGTGTAGGAACATCTTGTGCCGCGTCGTCCTCTGAGCCTGGGCGTGCGAAGTACTCGTCTAGATGGCGCGTCACAACTGCCATGAGATCTTTGTAGTCGTTGCGGAGGTGGATGATGCGGGCGCGAGTTGTGCGCACTATACAGTGAAAGCTGAACATTGTGATCACGACTGAAAATGGGACCACGTACCTTGGGCAACATCAATATCTGCCCTTGGAAATCCATCTCTGGTGGTTAACGGAGTGGTCATGTTCGACCCGTGCTGTTGGCCAAGTCAGTGCTCCAGCTAATGCACCATGTGGTTTGGTGTTGCAGGGACGAACTGAATCAAGAACTGCACTCAAGGCTTGCATTTCCGTCTCCATCTGGATTTTCTGCGCTTGTAATTCGAGATACGTCAACTTGGTGTAATCCTCCTTGGAAGTAGGGAAGCTGGCTGGGCCCGAGGGGACGGTCGGTGCGTGCAGATTATCCATCCTGAGAGGCAGTCCCATTACCCTAGGTAGGTAGGTATGCTGATACCTCTCTCGTAGCTATGAATGATACACTGGGTCAGGAAGGTAGAACCAGCGACTTCGTCGGGGGGGTTGGGGGATAGTCGTGGAAAGCAGCTTGGTGCAGGTGATTCTGGTAGGGATCCTATGTCCGTGTAGTCTTCAAGGGAATGCACTCACAGCCCCAATCACCCCACTTGCCTATCTACCTAAGGTACCTTGGGTACCTACCTAAGTACGTTTACCTACCCTACCTAGGTACCTACTGTAGCGTGCAGAGAAGGCCAAGTGAGTAGATACCTCACCCCTGGTACCTGTGTAGCTTGGCGCCACACCCCACGTCCGTGCATGAATTCCTTTTAGTGCCAGTCGCGTTCACGTATTCGACGTCAGAGGCCAATCTATCTAGAAACGCACGCACTACACCCAAACACACCTACCTGTACGAATCCTTTCCACGAGCACCAGTGGTAGCCCAACCACCGTGGAAATGGCGACTGGAGTAGACGCAAGGCTCTTGAAGTCTACGAAGTTTCCGCCAGAATTCAATCAGAAGGTGGACATGCAAAAAGTCAACTTGCAGGTCATCAAGAAGTATGGAAACCAGCTATCCAATCTTTACGGCTACAATGCGTTGCCTTCCCGGTCGCTGCTGCTGATCACATACTCAATAGGTGGATAGCCAGCAAAATCTCCGAGATTCTCGGAGGCGAAGACGATGTCGTGATTGAGCTCTGCTTTGGGTTGATAGAGGGTTCCCGATTCGTGAGTATCCCTTCGACCGCAATATTTCCTTCGCCCTACTAAACTCAGACATAGCCGGACATCAAAGGTCTCCAAATTCAATTGACGGGATTCCTCGACAAGGAAACCGCGCCTTTCTGCAAAGAGCTCTGGAAGCTCTTCCTCAGTGCTCAGGCCAGTCCCCAGGGTGTGCCCAAGGAGCTGCTCGAAGCCAAAAAGCTTGAACTCATTCAGGAGAAGGTTCGTCCGACTGCTCAATGATATGTGCGACCCTGGCTGATAACCTCGACCGCAGATTGAAGCAGACAGAGTTGCCGAGGAGTCCCGTCGCCGTCGCGAAGATGCGGATCGGCGACAATCACAAGGAGGAGACCCGAGAGAACGCCGCGACTGGGGACGAGGGCGAGGAGGTGATACTTGGCGTGGCCGACGTGGCGATCGTGCTTTCGACGACCGCGGACGAGCGAACTATGACCGTGGAGTGAACAGATCTCGATCACCGGGATGGAACCGCGAGCATAGAGGCCATCGAGTTGAAAACCGAGGATATCAGAGAGACAGTTATGTCCCGAATAGCCATCGTGGCACTGGCATCCGAGGCGGCGCCGCAGGTCGTCGTCGCAGAAGCACGCGATCGCCGTCTGCCGAAGGTTTATCGCCCCGAGAACGTCGCAGTCCAAGTCAAGAGGGCCCAAGGCACCGAGGTCAACGTTCTCCTAGTCCCGGTCCCCGGCAAAGATCTGGTTCTCCATCCAGACAGGCCAAGCCTCGAAAACGTTCAAGGTCTTCTACAAGGCAAAGCAAGCCAAGCTCCGCTCGCGATGAAGAAGATTGTCGGTTACGATCTGCTTCAAGAAGCCGATCGCGGGCGCCTCCTGCCAAGAGACGCAGGCGTTCTTTGACTCGCAGTGAGTCGCCTGAAGAGCGAGGCCGTCGGTCCCGCCGTTCACACACACCCTCATCGCCCGCAGCGTCCCGGTCTCGCAGCCGCAGTCGCAGCCGCAGCCGCAGCCGCAGCCGCAGCCGCAATCCCAGACGCCCTTCAAGTCAAAGCCGTAACAGTCGTGCGCGATCCAGGAGTTTTTCTCGTCATCGCCGAGATCTCTCTCCCAGTAGCGGCAAGGGGCGACCAAGACACCGTCGTGATCGATCACGCTCTCTATCCTCTTCCCGCTCAAGAAGTCATTCGAGACAACGACGCCACAGACGCCGCACTTCGTCAAGCTCTTCGTCATCTAGACTTCGACTGCAACAGCCTGGTGCAACCAAAACCCGACCACGTCTAGAAGCCGCGGCTCAGTCAGGAGACCAGTAGCGTGCCTGTGTAGGTAGCGGCTTTTGGAGTTCAAAAGTGGCCCAATGCCCGGAATGCCTGTCCGCGTCGCTTTGGGTGGCGTTCGGGTATGTGATCATCCTCAGCGGAAGTGTCGGCATTGCATGTGGTTGCCATTGGCTTTGATCATGTCTACGAGCTTAGGCTCAAGCTGGATGCCGACAACGGCTCCACTGTCGCGGTCAAAGACTGGTCTTTTGAAGGGTTTCTGAGATTTCGATTCGAAAGATGAATGCTACGGACTTGAATCCATATGTCATTTATCTAGGTGCAATAGGAAAGCAAAACGCACCCAGTATGCTTACAAAGTGACCCTTCCTATCGGATGCTACGTCACAGAAATGCAACAAGTTTGCATGTTATGACCATGAGCAAGGATTGCTTGGCTAGTTGGCTAAGATGGCGCGACCAGCGTTTGGAAAAGCAACTCCTTGACTAAAAGGGCTGGAGGTTGTGTTGTAAATCCACTTACGCGCGCCCTTGGGCTTCGTTATACTGAAGCATATGCATCTCCAGCGAAACAAGCCGAGTGACTCTGTACCATCCGTGAGTCTCTCGTACTACCCTCCTCTAGACAGACAGACTGTTCAGGGTTCGAAATTGAGTCCTCATGTCCTTTGATCAACCGTTATTATATACGCCTCGAGCCCTTGCCATTCACTGCCTGCTGCTCGGCGCTGTCGTGGGTCTGTCATCTATAACATGACCGGACTCCAGCAGCGGCCATGAACATCTTGCGACCTGTACTGCCGCTTCGATCAGCCAATAAGCCTCAGTTTCCATTGTATTCCCATCGGCCTAGTACAGGCCATCCGAGCACGCTTTGCTACTCTTCACTATCCCGCTTCACAGGTTCTGGTAACAACAGTACACTACAGGTACCCCAGCCCTGACTGCTATCCCATCTGCTCACAGTCGGAGGCGCAAGGCACAGATATATTGATAAGGTTCATGCATTCGTTTGTCCATAGGGATTACGAATACAATACCCGGCCATTTTACTTGAAGGGCCAGGAATAGTGATACTACGCCAAATACACGCTACTGGCTGGAATACTGGCCGTGAATGTATACTTGCTTTACTTGGCTGACATAGATGTTGAATGATAGCGACAGAATTCGCGCAAAACAAATTATCAAGTTTGTGTACAGATGATCCAAAGGAACGTCGATACAACCGTACATATAGCCGAAGCATTGCATATACTTGTATCCCGCTCTGTGTGCAAGTTTGATGCCATGGTCGAATATTATCGTCGAGGATACTCCTCGATTATGACTGGTCCTCTGAATCATGTCTCTGAACATTGTCAAAGAAGGACAGAGTGAGGGTATGTGGCAAGGGCCGTTCAATAGTAGCTTTTTCTGGAGCGTACTCAGCATCCCCGACACGTCTGATTGGCGATAAGCAACACCACAAATGCACACTATACTGCCCCCGGCATAGTTGATCACATATTGCCATCATTACAGGATGGGAATACATATGGAGAAGTGAATGTTGCTGACAGCCAAGCTGAATAGGAGTACAGTAGAAAAACAGCTCTATCTTTCCCAGCTCCTCTGTGCTTCAAGGTAGGAGACTACCACCTCGATAAGCTTCCACCTGATTTTACAAAGACGTGCTTCCGTATGTCCATGCCGTATCTTGAAACAACTAAAGCACCTCTCCTATGATTTTCGAGGCCTCGCGGTAGGTTTGGAGAAGCTTCTCACATTTCTCGCGCTCCTTCTTGACCCCATCGTCCTCGTAGAGCAACTCTTCAAACAACGTCTCCTTGTAGAGCTCGCTCACAAGGCGGTTTTGGACTACATCTTTGCTGTGGTTTACCAGCAGATGCATGACGGCTTTTGGCACCTGGTCGGCAATGGACTCCCTAACAATGTTGAAGTAAGATGAAATAAGAGCTCTGATAAGCTCAGTCTCCATGGCCTCACGATCAGTCAAAGCTGGTTCACCACCAGCTCCCTAACAAGAGAAGAGTCAGTGCTTGTGACGTATTCATACTCAAGAAAGAAACTTACGAAATGCGCGCCCAAATCACGAGAGTCATCTTCGCGTGCCTGTGGTTGAAGAGCAGACCGGCTCGACAGCGTATCGTCATTTCGGCGAATGCTCTGGGAGAAGGTGGGCTCCATACTTTGGCTAACGTGCCTCGCAACGGAAAGGTCTCTTCCATGAGCACTACCAGAACCCATAGGCATCGGTGATGCGCCGTCTTTGCCGAAGAAGTAGTTTAGGAACGAGTCTCGCGCGCCGCCGAGCCCCTGTTGGTTGTTCAGCCTCGAAGGGGAGATTGACCGGGCACCGTTCACGGCTGCGTTGAGCGAAACAGCGCCATGCTCTTTGAGACCTGGGGACAAGCTTCGGGCTCCTTTGACGGCCTGTCGGCGAGCTGTTGCCGAGTCACCCTTTTCGACAACAGCCGACTCTTCTTCATCCTCAGCGGGGGTGTCGACACCATTCGCCCCGAGCTCCTTAAGACGCCGCCTTTCTCTTCTGTCTTTCTCTTCTTGTATGAGACGCTTGCGTTCCCTCTCCTGTTTATTGCTGACAACATGACTCATCGCAGCTGCGGCACCCAGAAAGTTCGGATGGTTGGTATTGATGTAAGCGCGCTGAATGGAGATCAATGACTCAACATAAGATGATGCCGGGCCTAGTCTTTCCCGGAGTAGATCGGAAACAACTTCAATTAGTTTGGCCTGCAGCCTTGGGAACCGCGAGAGTTCTGTTGAGCCACAGGTGTGGCAAATTTTGATGAGCTCTTCATAGACAAGCTCAACACAGCGCTGGCTAGGAATCTCGAGGAGTTTGATTTGAGGTTTGACGAGAAGGTCGAACGCCATCTCCGGGACGAACAGACTTGGGCGGGGGCCAGTTGAGTTGCGAATAGCCGTGCGGATATCAAGGGCGGAAAGGTTAGATGTTGGATCGATAGACTCGAGGGAGCTACCGAATACCGAGTTGAAAATGTAATAGATGCGAGCACCGCCACATAGCTCCTTGGTCGAGATCTCGGTCGAAGTGCCATCGATTGAAGATATGAAAGAAGTGGCAAAGCGGGTCATGAGCTGTAAGATAAGAGACCCGCGATGCTCCTTGCCACTGAAGTGCATATCACCGTAGCTGGCCAGTTCCTGTTGGGTTTGCCCCATGAGGGTGTTGAGGCGTGCCTTAATGTCCGGCATGCGCGCTCGAATATACGCCATAACCTTCGTGATGGATGACTTAGAACCAGTACAGCGTTCCCCCATTCTTCTCATATATTGACCATACATAGAAACAAGGGGTGGTGCTTGAAGAAGTCGGCCTCGTCCTTCAGCGCCTCCTCCATTGGCTTGCTACCCTGGATGTCCTGTTGCGAGCGGTTGACAACACCAATGAAGCCAAGTTTCAATGGATAAACACGTCCCGAGAGGATGTCCAGTGCGTTCGTTCCATGATCCATCAAATCGACCTTAGTGAGCACGCCGATAGTCCGCCTGCCGAGCGGGTCAACGTGTCTCGCTAGCTTTAGGGCCTCCGAGTTGACGATGTCCACATTGGCAGGAGAGACAGCGAGGACGATACTGTTAGGCTTGGCAATATATTCCGAAATCAAATTGCGAGTCTGCTTCTCTATATCGGTCGGTTGATCGCCTATGGGTACCTGGGAGGTTAGTGTCAGCACACAATTTTCACAGGGTCCATCATGGATGCGAGTACATACCTTGGTCAAACCGGGGAGGTCTACGAGCGTCAGGTTTAGGACGTGGGGAGAGTAGATTTTTAGGTTTATCGGTTGTCGATTGATACCCTTATTGCTGCCAGCCACTCTCGAGGTTTCATTCTCGATCTCCCGTTTAACGTCGCCGAAGTCGTTGAATCTGCGATTGGGAATGTGGTGGAACTCGGCCCATTCAGATCGCCGAGCTTGAGATGGGGACCTGTAGGGGTCATTTGCTGGCTGGGCGGTGCTCTCGTCCTCAGGAACGTTGATGAGCTGCAAGATAAGGGGCCGCCTTGTAACGATGCCACTCCCACGGGGTAGGAAATCACGTCCGACGATGTTTTCGAGAACAGAAGATTTTCCTGCGGATTGCGACCCAACCACAACCTATGACAGTCAGATTCAAGAGGTTTGATCAGGATATACCAAAAGATCACCCACAATTTGCGGAAGGTCAAGGGAGTCGCTGCCAATGGTGTTGAAGACCAAGTCTTGCAGCTTGTTGACGGTGCCCAAAAGGTCATCCCCAAGAGAGGCCATGATGACTATAGCTTGACAGTCGTATCTTGCTGCGAAAAGGAAAGAGTCTGCAGCGATAGGGTGGGGTGATTCGGCGTAGCTAGAAGCTTGACCGCAAGGAAGGTTAATGCCGTCGGAAGGTTGCTGGTCGAGTTCGAAACTGGGGTTGGACCTTGAGACGCGACAATATCCAGAGTGAAGTCGCTAGTAGCGACGCCGCGTTGCGAGGAGTGGATGAAATTCGGCTGAGCGATTGATTGGCAAAGCTGACAGACGGCTAGCAATGTCAAGCGTGCCTGCGACCTGCGTTATGCTCGGCGTACGGAGGCAAGGTCCTTCTCGATAGATCAATTTGGAGATTTCATGCGCGATCCACCAACTCCCTTGAAGACCTTGGACCTCTGGACAGCTAGCACGGTCCTAAGCCTGGTCCCGACTAGCCGCCTTACGATTGATTGTCTGTAGATAAGGATAACATGCGTATTGCAATAGTGGGGCGAGACGCTCAAGGGCATTATGGCTGGTTGCGACACACGGCGTTCTTATTGACATCTCAGTGATTAATATGTGTACTTGTATAGCGCGTACTCGTCGATAGAACGTTACTTTGTTTCGAGTGACGGTCGGCCGAACGGATCAGGCCAGACCTAAGCATTCATTGCAGTATAATGGTGTGTTTTGCGAACGAGCACTAGTATCTTCTTATCAGTACTCGAATACAGCAGCCTGTATCCAGTGTATTCGTGGGAGGGCTATAGTCTGATATCGAGTTTGCCTCGTGGGTCATTCTGCTGCACACGCCTACAGGCTCGTTAAACGCATTCCAGGTTTACGAATACTCCATTCTGGACGACAGCGACGACAAGGGACAGGAACGATTTGCGGTACAGCTTTACTGGGCCTCACGTGCATAGGTAGCCTTCAGGCACACATTGCCCTCATAGTTCCATGAGCTTGTAACATCGCACGTCACATTTCTATTACCAGCATCCGATGAGTTCGTTCGGCAGTCCAGGCGGAGGACCGGCATATTCCAAGCCCACGCCGTGAGCAATCTCCCGACTTACTGTGATGGATTTTTGAATCCTAGAAATCTAATGTTCATCTTACAGTCCGCAACGGGGTAGCTTCCCCCTCGACCACGATGGTATTTTTCTCCCGTTGCCCTGCTAAAACTATGACAAGCTTTGCTGACCTCCTTGGCGTGTCATCTGCCAATAGGAGAGTGTAAACATGTCATGGCTTCCTACTTGTCTTGTATGAAGAAAGTTTCTGGCGTCAATGATGCCGCGTGTCGCGATCTGGCTAAGTCTTACTTGACCTGCCGCATGGACCGGTGAGTTACTCTGGCCCATCAGACTTCGCGCTCGCTGACTGACATTGCCTCATAAGGAACTTGATGGCCCGAGACGACTTCAAGAATTTGGGATTCGGGAACGATTCTCATGAAACCAAGCGGACAGGTGGGCAACAATCACAGGATGGTAAAGGAACTAAGGGTGAATTGCGATGGTAAGAGAATGCTTTGGCTAAGGTAGCCAGCTTTGCTGCAAGCCCTTGGCGCATGCTGCCCTACGAACGGGTTTGGTTTGTAGGTGTGCAACTAAGCTTGATAATGATAGTAGCTTGATATATAATCCGCATGTGACCAACCCCAGTTGAGTTGAGCGTGACAGGCTGTAGGCTGCTTAGGCTCTTGTTCCCATGGGCAAGGTCAAATGTAACTACCTCCCTAAGTAGGTACCTGACTGGTGGGTGATGTCTTTGTTCTTGACCCGCCACTGGATGCCCACCTAGGTACCTAGGTACCTAGGAGACGCGTCTGTGCGGCGATGTCGCGTAAATGCATTGTTGAGTTGGCACCGTTGCTGTGACGACCGTCTCGCGGACCAGCCCAACTCAACTCAAACCAGTCATGGAAAGATTGTAATTGAGGCCACTAAACACCATTCAGACATACACCAAACAGACAGATCTGCACTGTTGCTCGAGAAGCCGTCATAAATTCTGAACTTTGCCGACTTTACATCTATTCGCGAACTAGAGGCGAACGGCCCTGATCCATCCTTTCGTGAGAATGAACCGCAAGAAATCCACCGAAAAGACCCGCAAGGTCACCCCGCCATCGCCGACGTACATGGACAATGGGCAGTTTGGTAAGAGCTAAGTGTACACCTTGGGTGCGGTTCATCAACACGAACGATTGATCTGACAACAAGGGATGCACGCAGCTGCCTATCTTGCCGACCTTCGAAACAATCGTATTGCTCGCCCAGGCGGCGCAAGGCCCTTGCCGACCACGAGTATTCGAAGCCGTGAAGAGCCATCCACCATCAAAGACGATGCCAATACCATAAGAACCTCGCCTGCAGGCATGCCAGAATTACCAAGTAGTGCCGGGGCGACTCCCAACACCATATGTAATACTTCCACCAGTGTGTCGTCCCGTCTCCCTACGGCAACCACGAAAGCCCACGACTATCAGTCTACTCAGTCCAAATCACTTAAAGGACCCTCCAATCTGTTGCCTAGTGTCAAGTACATAGAAAGAGGCCAGAGGTGGATGGAGAAAGAAGAAGCAGGCTCTCTCCGCCATGCAATGGATGACATGAAGCTTGCCGACAATCAGAGCACGCATGACAGCGACGAGCGGAAACTATACGATGCAGCACAGGAAGAAGCCTCAGAGCTAGTGTGGCAACATCGTCATGGAGTCGAACCTCAACCCAATGCGCCATACCGCTACAAGCCCCACATGAGGAAAAACAGCTATCAGCACGCTCGCACCGCAAGCTTCGGAAGAAGAACTGGGGGGAACGCTGTGACGTCTCTGGCGGGCGAAGGGGCCTCGTCCAACAGGTCTTCAATCGACACCAACGTCCATTCTCGCAGAAGCCGGTTCTCTTTAGGATACTCACATGGACCATCTGCCGACGAAGCACATAATGCGAACACGAAGACTCTTGTGCACGAACCTCGTATGCAACAAGCAGCACAGCCGGCACCCCTTCAACCGGGGAGTCGCCGGGTTAGCACCAAGAGGAATATCAGTGGCGAGATTGATCGTCCGTTCTCCGGGGACCAGATCTGGGAAGAACCCGAAGGTACATTACCTGACAACAACGCCCATGCCCCGCAAATGGGTGTAGACGCCCCCTCCACAGCCGCCTCAAGGAAACTCCGGAATCAAGATCACCTCACTGCGACTTCGCCTGCTAAAAAAGTCGATGTGCAGAAGGCAAGGGTCTCGATCGACGTTCATCGCGAGCCCCCCAGCCAGTCACGAAACCCACAGTATACGACCAATGTTCCCCATATCATTCTTCCAGAAGACCAAGAGACGTGTAGGGACAGTGGGGTCGAAAGACGAAGCGATGATATTCGAGAAGCGACCAGCATGAGGTTGAAGGACCGCAGTGCCAAGTTGCCCACTCCCACCGCCGTCAGCGACAATCCAGGACGTCCGATCGTAAGCTTCGACACAGACTGGAAAGCTCCAGAGGACACGGTTGATAAGAAGCCAGGATCAGCTTTCGGCAGCTCATCCCCATGGAGAGAACAATCAGGTCACATGTCACCTACTATTCCCCTTATCGTGATACCAGACCAGGATGACATGGATTCGGAAGCATCCCGATGTCCACCGGCGCCATCCATCATCGTCCAGGGTGCATGCGAAATGCCCAACGACATGCCAGTCATTCCATCAATCGTAACGCCTGAGGATAGCCATCATGGAATGAGATCGTCGACACGTCCTCTTCCAACACCGCAGGCACGAGGGGGCAAAAACACAGCCGGCACACGGCCTAGAGGCCACTGGTCGCCAGCTCCCGTAGGGGGCTATCGATCGAGCACCTCATGTCACGAATGTAGTCTTCCAATCGAGGGCCGCTTCGTTGCACTTGCTGGTGTCCCAGAACGGTTTCACCCCCAATGTTTCACATGCTACTCTTGCGGTACAGGGCTGGAAGCACTCGAAATCAGTCCTGAGCCTGAATTGTATCGTACTAATCGCCTGAGCAGAATCAGGCGTAGGGCTGAGGGGGAAGTTCTGGAAGAGACGCCAGGCATGACAAGAGAAGAGGACGGAGACGAACGATTCCGGTTCTTCTGTCATCTGGACTGGCATGAGCTTTATGCACCCCGATGCAAACACTGCAAGACACCAATCCTAGGTGAGCACATTGTGGCCCTTGGGGAGCATTGGCACTACGGTCACTTCTTTTGCGCCGAGTGTGGTGACCCATTCAACCAAGGCATGACACACATTGAAAAGGACGGATATGCTTGGTGCATCAACTGTCAAACCAAGCGCACAGAGAGACGAGCCCCCAAATGCAAAAAGTGCCGACGCGCTGTCATTGGGCAGTACATACAGGCTCTGGGGGGGGAGTGGCACGATGATTGCTTCCGTTGTGCTGTTTGTAATGGGGGGTTTGACGACGGACAAGTATTCCCCCAGGTAGATGGAGAAAGGACACTAGTTCTTTGCACTGGCTGTCGGGCTAGGCAACTCAAGGCTTAAACGTGTCTAGGGTAGTCAGATTTCCTGCAGAAGTTGAGGGACTCAGTCCAGATTGCATGCTTTTCGTTGGCCGCTGCCACACCGAATGCCATTTCGTGACCTGCACTGATTTTTCTTGTTCCGCATAGCAAGAGACGCACTTTGAATGGGATAAGCCTTGGGTTCGCAGATTGTTAATGACCAGAATTTGATTCCCGCGTCTAGTTGATCTTCGGCCGAATATCGCAGGAATGCGATGTCCTTCGTTCCTAATAGTAAAATCCATGCATTCAACACCACTACCGACCCTGTGCTGTGAACTGCCAGTCCGTATTCGCCGTGGGGGTGGCGCATCAACAACCACCAACTTGTTCTTGGTACACCTCAAGTGTGTCGCCATCGGCCATTTCGAGCTAGGCCACAGACGTCAGCACGCTTCGGTTGAAGAGAATGAGAATGGCAAATGCGGGAACTTACTGCTGAAGGTGTATCTGTGGGTTGAACCCGTTGTCCTTCAAACACAAAACGAACCGTGTTGAATGCTTTTCCTTGCCGGTCGCAGAAGGCATTCATGAGCTTCTCCAGTTTTGTCGATTTCTTGATCTTAAAGAAAACCTCATTGTTGTTGTCTGTCACCTTAATGTTGAGGTGCTCAACAGCTTCGGCGTCTGGAGCAGGCACCGAAGGACTGCCGTTCTCATGCTCAGCAGACATCGTGGCCTATGATTCGGGGAGGATATCAGGCGATGGGCTTGTATCTGCAAGACCACAACATGGTTAGCAAAGCGTTTATAGGAAATCGTGAAGTGGAGCGACCGCATAAAACTAGGAGCATGGAGGACGAGAGAGCGTGGGGGAAGCGGTAGGTGGTGATGAGCCAAGTTGACTGACGGGTTTGATCAAAGGTAGCCTCGAGCTCCAAGGGATCATGCGCGTCGTTGGCGATGAAAGCTGGCAGATGCCGTGGCTGTTGGGAGTTGTGTTGCGGGTTTGAGAGCCTTCTCTCTGAGGCGATGATCGCGATAAGGTGAAGGAGGGACCAAAGGTTGCTGCCGAGGCGGGGCAGGAGTCAGTAAGGTTGGTGTCGAATAAGGTACCTGACTGGAAGATTCCTTGCTGTCAGGAAGTGGTCCCCAGCAGCCTCGATAACGTGATAAGGTACCTACAAGACGGATACACCTAGGTACAGTACAGTGTGGGTGGGTACTGATACCTACAGTAGACCTCTCGAGACCCACAATTTCCCTTGTCGACATTAGGCTTACATGGGGGGTAAGTGACCAGGTCGGAGGCACTCTTCTTCGTCGAAATATTCATTGCGGCCCTACAACGTGCCAAGTTACATCTCGGGTACCTGTACATGAGACGTGCCTCTGTCATCCACGATCTACAAGAGCAACCTTGCCCAACTGAGTACAGACCTAGCCAGGTACGCAGCCATGTGCCTATGAAGAGCAATGACGTGACTCCCCACATGCTTCACCTAAACCGTTTACAACCTCCACCTCCCAAATCCAGCTTCTGGGTCATTACGTGCTTCCCAGCCCCCGTTCGATTTGGGAAAAGAAGCTGTCCTCCTTCGGCTGCATTCTACGCCCTCGTCTTTCCTTACACAAACCTGATTGTGACACACTTTGGGGAGCAACAAACAGAACGCCATTTCCGACTACAGAAGCAAAAGAAAATGGTAAGTACTGAAAAAGATCCAGTGCTGTCATGAGGTCGCTGTAAATGTATACTTATGCTTATCTTTCGCACCAGACATTGCAAGCAGATCTGCGGGACAACCCGCCATGCCATGCGCGTGCGGTGAGCCGAGACTATTCCACTTAAACTTGGTTGGACCTTCTAAGTAACACATGCGCTGCTCGTCGAAGTGCGAGATTCAAAGTATGTACGCCGATGGACGAGGAGGGAGACCCGCAGGCCATCAAGGGCTGACTGTGAAATTTCAGACTGCCTTAGCAGGAACGGCTTGAACGACGCCAAATGTCAGGCACATGTGCTGGCGCTGTATCAGTGCTGCGAAGCATTCTATCGCGAGCAAGGAGATTCTGCAGTTTCTGCTAGTTGTCCAAAAGCCGACCTCTTGAGACTCAAGAAGAAACAAATGGCAGCGCAAATGTAACAAGCAGGAGCGGCGAGCGACGCCTCATCGCACATCGTCGGAATTTTAAATGTGCCCTACATCTGAACCGCGCGTCCGCCAGAATGGAGAAAATCTGGCAACTTTTAGAAGAGGGAAATGTACCAAGTACCATCGATCTGGGCCATCAATGAGCACGCAAGAGATCCTCAAGGGACCTGAACAAGCATTGAATACCTGTTCCGAGACTCTAATATGAAAGCCGTAAAGACATTGTATGAAGAAGAGAAGAGAATTCAAATCAAACCCGAGCAACAATCGCCAGTACTTATAAAACTTTTGTTAGTGGGGCATATGCACAGACCAATCGGCTCATCAGTCTTTATATCGCCCACTATTTGGTGCTGAGATTCCTGAGACTGAGTGAGGTACCTACCTTACTGGAGTGGGTACCCTACACGACATTTGCTCTTCCACCTTGGTAGTCGCGTCAACCCCAGCCAAGTCACAAATCCCCGAACAACGACGAAGCCCAGGCAGGCCATTCACCACACATTGCCTTAACCGGAACCAAATCTGTGCGCGCGCTCTTTGCTTCCGTCTTGTTACGACTTCCTGGACATCTTTCGTGTCCCACACCATCGTTTACCGGTCCCGAACGTCAGGGGGCAGCGTTTTCGACCCGACAGTCGCAACACGGCACGACTATCGACAGCACGCTGCGATCGGCGCATCGCAACGTCAAGCCAGGCTCTGGAGAAGCTGGAAGCGCCCTGAATCTATCGATCAGAACTCCAAAGGTTAGCCCGAGTTCCCTCTTCTGGCCGTTCATCCCCTGCAATGGCTGCATGTCTGCTCGACTGTAACACTCCTCTTTCCTCAGCTGCACAACTGGGCCTTTCCCGGCCAATATCTCTTTCACAGGCCCCTCTCATACTAGGATATCAACTGATGATAAAAATACCAGAACCGAGAATCGATCACTGCGCCTCTCAGCTTCAGTACAAGGATACAGCTCTAAGCAACTCGCAACCCCGGATAAAATAGAAGGTCACAACACAATGGCTGAGGGTGATTTTACCCTTGAGGTAGGCTTTGAGGCAGAGCACTTCGCGAATGCCGTAGATGATTGTCTCGGTGGTCCGGGGTCAAATCAGCAGAAGCAAGAGCGGGTGCTGGAGCTTGTTCAAAGGTTCTACAACCATGCATCAGAACGTCTTGACCAACTACGGCATCGTGGGTCCGGAAACCTCACTGATAACGAGATGGATGTGGATGATGCAGAAGACGAGACAGATCCCGCAGCAACCATCTCGCAAATTCGCAAGTGGGAATCAGAGCTTCAGACTTGGGATCTGCTACAACGACTTGTTACGCTCAGATACCCTCAGACCAAGTCGGCGGCAGTCACTGGAGGCCTTGATGCGGAAATCCATTCTCGAAAGGATGATCTGTGGGGCTCATTCGTTGCGCAGACCGACCGAACAGCAGAGAGGAAAACGGTTCTTGAGTGGCTGCAACACACGGCGACAACAGGTCCTGCAATCGACGAACTGATTCGCGACTTGCAGCAAAACGCTGAGCGCGGCCAAATCATTGCTCACGGATGCATCCATTCGCGAACAGCTCTCAAGCTGCACAAAGATCTTCTCGGAGCCTCGCGCCCTTTGGATCCCCTTGCCGCTAACGTCGCTCAATCGTTGATGACATCTGACAAGGCTCCACTCGTATCACAGCTCGACCCAGATGCTGTGACTCGCCAGTCACGTAAGCTCGAACCACAGGATGAGTTCTTTGAGCGAGCCATTTGGGTCGGTTGTTACCAGCTGCTTCGACGCGGCTGCACCTTGGCCAAGATTCAAGAATGGTGTGCCGAACGTACAGAGACCTGGCGTGCTGTATCCTTGTCAGCTCTTCCTTCAGCAGGCACAGGTGATGCCGTTATTCACAAGGAAGATGCCCATTCTATCGCTCTTTGGAGACGCATGTGCTTTGCTTCGGCAAGGCATGCAGGCACTGACGAGATCGAATCCGCGGTCTATGGTGTTTTGGCCGGCGACATTCAGAGCGTAGAGAAAGTCTGCAAGTCGTGGGACGACTTCATGTTCATGCACTACAATGCACTTCTACGCAGTCAGTTTGACAGTTATGTCCTTGAGCAATGTCAACCGGAAATGTCTGCCAACATCGACCAACAATTCGCCGTTTTCGATGCTGTCCAGTATCATGGTGAAGAATCTACAACCGAGAAGCGACTTATCAAATCACTAAAAGTCCACAAGCTTACGCGCGACGAAGCTTTGATGCCACTCAAGGTGCTACAGGCGGCTCTAATCACGAAAGAAACTAGCCAACACTTTCTTCAACAAGGCGTGGTATTGGCGAGGGAACGGGGGGAGGTTGATACTGAGCCTACCAATACTGAGGCTGATACACATGGGTTCGTGAATGGGCGCGATTATGATACCCTCCGTGTGGCCGTTCACGTTCTTATTGTACTTTCCACCCTCGACGACCTTGACGTTTCAACCTCACTATCACCAACACTCGAGCGCGAACCGCAGGCACGTGCTATACAAGAAACTATCATCAGCTCCTATGTGACTTTGCTTCGACTCGCACAATACGAGGAGCTGATTCCCTTGTATTGTTCAAAACTGTCGATGCCCCGGGCTTTCGAGGTCCTCAGCATCAATCTCCGACATCTTACAGACCGCGATACGCGGCTAAATCAGCTTGAGCTTATTCAAAAGTCAGGTCTTGACGTACTTCGATTCGTCAAGATGCAACCACGGCTCATACTGAGCCAGCTAGGCAACGTTGAACAAGAAGCTGGCAGCAGGAGAGAGCCATTTCGAATCATCGAAGCTGGCCCTGGCTCTCTTAAATACGGCCGCCTCATCAAGATAGATTTCTTTGGCGAAGACCCCGATGCGATCTCGGAAGAAGAAGAGTTGTTGATCCGTTCATTGGAATGGCTTCTTCTTGTTGATGAGGCTTGGCCTGATGTCTTTTTCGTTGGCGTTAAGGTTTACAAGTACTTCTTAGGTTCGTCAAACCCTCCTCCACAGCAACAACAAATAACTGACAGTTCTCACAGGCACTATGCGCCTGAATGCTGCCCGACAACTAGCAAATAGGGTCACTATGAGTCAAGTTTTGCAACAGAGGATCAGTCTTGGCGGACAGGAAGAGGCGGACATTGCACATGTTCCGGAGATCGATGACGCCTTCTGGGCCGACCAGCTCGAAGCAATCGGTGATAGGCAAACTTCATCAAGGCTGCTAGCCACCCAGGCTAGGATTTTCCGCGATCTTGAATGCCTGGTCAAGGCTCTCGATACCATGGAAACAATCGCTTCGTTGACAGAGTTGTCGCGAGAGTAAGTATTGGTGCTGCTGGCAGGATGGCTCTTATTCGAGACTTATGACTAACCTATCTAGGGATCCTTCTGCCAAGCGTGATTTCTGGAATCAGGTCGGCAATGAAGTCAAGAATGCCAAGGAATACGTAGAGCCAATGTTCAAGGGCTGGCTCTTGCTTGACGGTGAGCAAAGATCGACCTATTCCTTGGAATAACAGCTGCTGACTTTCTGTCTAGAAGACGATGCGCAATGCCTGCAGGCGCTCCGTGACACCTATCTTCCCGAGACTATACTGGCGTATATCAGTACGCTCCATTTTGCAGGAACGTGTGTTTCGAGGGATAATTTGCTCGAATGCATGGATCTCGCAGCAGTTATGGCTCAGAAAGACTCAGATATCACCGCCTGTTTTGTGAAGGGGAACAGGATGAAAGAGCTGGTAGAGGCATTTGCTGCGTGCAGCAAAGCCCTGGCCATCGTCTCTGGGGAAAAGAAGGCGGCAGCCTCGAGCAGTAAAAAGATGCGAGAGATGGGATGGTCGAGGGACCTTTGGTCAGTTAGGTCATGAGTTGTACTGATGATTCGTGCGCCTGGTCACTGGTACAATTTTCGGTTTATGCTGATGGGTCGGTCGAGGTATACACGAGAAGAGCGGCTTGAGCTGGACAGGTGCCCACAACAATGCTTTCGTGGATGGACGCAAGGTCACTAGACGGGGTGGCCTGGCAACATTGGCAAGCGGATTTGATCGCTGGACACCAATGTACGAGATCGCGAGAAAGGTGGTCAAGGTGAGATAGAGCTAAGCGTGATACGGATGCCTGACGCCAAAATCTAATGCTCATGCCACAGCTACCGTCGTGAACAATTGCCCATGTTTCTCTTCAGGGACAGGTACAGTCTGAGGCGCAAGCCAATTCTGGGGGACTGCTGTCTTACTCCCTGACAACCTTACGTTAGGTAGGTACTTAGGTATCCAGGTTTGCCCATTTGCAACCCAGTCCCATTTAGTTGCATTTAGCTATGGCGATGCTTGTATACGTACAGACCGCGTCCATCCCTTTAAGACCGAATTCAGTGTCAGTACAAAAAGCCGACCATGAGCCGGGCCACCGCCTTCATAATAGGTTTAGCGCCGTTACAGCTCGAAATCTTCCTCAGTACATATAGCCTTGTATCAGTCTTGCATAACCCACCAGATTCTTCACTATACACCCTAGCACACCTAATGTCATTAGGTGCCTATAGTATTATGGCTTATTTGTGAATGTATTGTGGGCTGTTCTTGAGATTGCTGATTTCTGCCATGTTAACTGGGTTCTTCTATACGTACTTTTTGTACTGAGACTGAATTCGGTCTTAAAGGGATGCTGACTACGCACGCTCGTCAGATGTCGAGACCCTGGAGCATCACCTTATTGCTGCCATCATCCTGCGTCCTAACTTGAGTTGTCGTCTGTTAGGTTTGGTCGCATTTCATCGTCACATAATTTCCACCTGGGACTTCAACCCCAATGGTTACAAACGTCGCGATGCAGGATCCTCCACCTCCAGTACCCCCGCCAAAACCAGGCAGCCACGATCCAAGTCGCCTGAATACACCAGTCACTCCATTGTCACCATCTACAACGCCGAGTCAGGGTGCTATTTCCGTAGAAGGGCATGACTCTTCGGGCTGGCAACCTGCCACTCGACATGATTCTATGAGAACAACATCGTCAACAATCGACCCCGGTGACCAGTGGCTGCCAGGGATCCTGCAAGACAAATCGTAAGTCTTGTGCAGATCCAAGCATATATTCGATCGAAGTCTTGCTGAGTCTCACACGTGTGAAGTAAGCAGGAGTTGGCCGAGATTCTGGCCAGTCCTAAGCTCCTAGAGGCTCTCACGCACTCTGTCGACACCGTTCAGCCGTCTCTCGCAGAGTCGCATCAAGCACTGCATGCCATGCTCGGTGAGAACTTGCAGCTAGCTGCGCAACTGGCGGACCTGGAAGCGCGCTTGACACATCAGCGGTCGACGACGCAAGCACAACTCCTCTCCACACATGCCCTTGAGAGACAGTGGCGACAGAAACAAACGGATATGGATCACGCGCTCTCGCCATTTGCACCGGCAGCACTTTATCAGCGACTGGGCCAGGGCGTACACGAGCAAGCAACCGTATGCCACGCGATGGAAGAGAGTTTCCTTGAGGGCCAAGCGGACGGCGCCTTCGCCTCCGAGAGGGAGGCCCTCGACTGGGTAAGAAGGTACAGAGAAGCCAAAGCACTGTACTACCTGCGACAGGAAAGAAAGAATCGCTGGGACGAAGGTCGTGTTGGCGGATGGAGGTGATGGTTTTCGGTCCTCTGACCACGGATCAGTTCGGCGCGGCGGGTACGAGCAACATCTTGGCGCGGCCGACCATCACGAGAAGTGGAAGCCACCGCGCCCGAGGAGACTCCGAATGGCTTCGCTCAGATGATATTGGATCCGTTGTTGGCGCTGTTGTTGTCTCGGCCGGTCTTTCAACATGGTCCGCACGCGGTTCGGGGCAGCGAACGCTACAGGTATCGATACAGTGTCACAGTGCGGCCAGAACAGGACGACCCACATTGAAAGGCTCGGGGAACTGCACGGAGAAATATACAAGTGTGGGCCAGAACTTGAGAGAGTTAAAGGGTTTGACCGAGAAAGGGCCGTTCCAACCGCACTAGCACAACAGAGCCAGGACAACCTCCCTCATCCTTCCTCATCTTCCGTCCATGCTGCCCTGGTTGTTGCCTAATATCCTAGCCGTCTCGGGGTTTTCTTGGTGGTTTCCTGGATCAGGTACCACTAGGCGGCACTTTTCTGCGCAGTGCGCACTGCCTGCCCAGCGACTCTAGTTCGATAACTTTCCTATCTTCACAAATTGTAGTTTACCGGGTGCCTATCAACACTCGTCAGTCCTGCTGACGGTGAAAGGATCCGCCTATGGGAAAGGCTCAGTCAATGAACGATGTCTTGAGCGGCGAGTGCTACTAAGCTGGCCTGTGGGAGGGTCGTCCCCGCAAGCTGAAATGCTGGCACGGGATGGCACGGGCGGACCAATTGCGGTGCGGCTAAATCGGAAATGACACCGAAATGGACGGTTCACAAGGGACTTGACGTAGACGCATGCCAATCGTCAGTACCGCAAACGCCAGCAAGGCCGCAAGGGTTACCGTGACCGTCGATAAGAGCCACCGTTGTTCCAAACGGGCCGAGCTTCCACAACCAGCCGCGGACATCTTATCGGCGGATCCGATTCCAAACCCCAGCCGACGGGAGGGAGGAGGAGCAGGGAAGGCGTGCTCACGAACGAGGGTAGCGGTACCTTGTCTTGTCCGTGTGGGTACTGTGTCATCGCACCCCATCTGGTGGTCACCGTTGTGCACACTGTTCATAAGCTCCGAGGAGACACTTACAGTACAGTTTTGTATCTCTAATTCGCACTCAGGCATCCGCTAAAACGGTGCTTCTTTCGGCCTTCGCTGCTCATGCCCCTCGACAGCTCTCCACTATTGCGCCGCTGAATAGCCCCGTCGCCCGTCGCAGGCGCTCACTCTTCCCTCTCTCGCTCCCCCCTTCGCTCTTTTGCTGCTGGTACTCAGTCTCGCTCCCACCCATCCCTCGCTGCCGCCCCCTCTACCAGTGAACCAACGGCCTGGCCTAGCGTCTCGTCTTCCCCGGTGTCCCCAGACACCCCCCAGCGCCTCCCCTCCTGGGTCTCCTGGGTCCCTTTGCCGCTACCACACCACGTCTTCTCTTTCCCTCGTTTCTACCATACCATCACGACCATGCTTTGACTCGGCCTTGCTATCGTTGCTTCGGTCTGGACAACGCCTGCGACTTGGACGCCTTCATGAGCTCAAAATTCAACTAAGTCGACGACGAAGACAACGACCACGACGACTCTGCTGACGACAGCGACTTGATCCGTTCTACTGTCATTCCATTGATCGCTGCCGCCGTGCAACCTGTCAAGACTGGGCGCGCATCGTCTTTTGCACACAGCAACCTGGCTCGGTCTGCCCACGATTTCCATCCCATCTCTTGGCTCGCCTCTCTTCCAATGGTCCGCCATGTTTAGATCGCGACTGCCCGGCCGCGTCGACAACCCGATCTCTACGTTCGACACGCCTCTGGCGCCGTAGGTACGGGCTGACGACGACCAAGATCATCGCCTCACGTCCGTACCACCGCTGTGCCTGCTCAGCCGCTCGGCTCGCTTGGCCATCATGGATCCGCCTCACATCACCGAGTTCGCCTCGGAAAGATACTTCAACAAGCTAAATCAACTTCACGAGCCATCTCCTACCGACGAGGGTCCTCACGCTGGACCGTCAATCGCTCTCACTTCCCAAATCACGCCTGCTCCACCTTCAGAATCCACATTCATTCTTCCGCTGCGCACCTCCAAGGCAGTCGACAGCGATCACGATACGCCACGTCCAACTGATCAAAAGCAAAAGAGCCGTTTCTTCGGCTTACGGTCGAAAGTATCTCTACTTCAAAAGTCTGTTCCAGCGCAACATCTACAATCTCCATCCCGTCATCAGAAGGCAGCCACAGCTGAGCCCGCCAGCCAGCCTTTTGACCACCTGTTCCTCGCTCTTCCCACAGAGCTCCAAATACAGATCGTCTCGGCACTACCCCTGGCGGATATACTCAACTTGCGGCGCGTATCCAAAACGTGGCATACTCTCATAAGCCTGAATGAGGCGCCCATCGTTCGCCATCACCTGGACCACCACATACCCGCGTATGCTCTCCGCCTCTACCCCGCAAATGAGCCGACGAAAGTCACCTTTCACCATCTCTGTGGTCTTTGGCACCGCCTGCATGTTGCCGCCAAGCTCTCCTTCCTCATGTGCGAATGGATCACGAAAGAGATTTCTTGCG